AGCGCTCGCCGCTCCGCTGTGCCAGGCTCCATGCAGGGACCTGCCCGGCCCAGCGCTGCAGGCTGGCGCTGCCCTGGCTCCAGGGATGGGGTGTGGGACAGAGTGCGCCCCACAGCAGCACCCCACGGAGACGCACTCGGGTGTAAATGCCGCTGCGTGGAGCAGGGCGCTGGGATGTGTTGGTGTCCCTGCCATTCCTGGCACTGCGGCTCCGGGGGACTGCCGGGGGGAGCGGGTCTGCTGCCAGAAGGCGCAGGGCGCTGCCAGTTGTCACCCTGGTGTGCCCTGAGGTGCCCAGTGCCCATCTAAACCGGGAAGAACTTGGAGCCCCAGGGCAGCGAGCCCTGGCGCTGGGCTGCAGCTCGGCTTGGTGCGTGGACGTCCCTCCCACAGCACTGCCCTGGATGGCGGCCAGCAACTCTGGGGAATTTCTTTTCCGCCTCCAGGGTGGCCTGGACAGTGCCAGGGCAGCAGAGGTGCTAATGCCCAGGGTTATGCTCAGAGTGGAGCCTGGACAGCGCATGGGGGCCTGGGCATCTGGATTCTCCTGCCCGGAGCAGGGAGATGCCCTTGTGGTGGCCTTGGCCCTTGGTTTGGGTCCTGAAGCTGACCATAAATTCATGATATTTAGTGGCAGCCCCCTGAGCCCCACCCGGGGCTGAGCTGTGACTCCCACCCAGCACCGGGGGCAGTGCAGCCCCCCAGCATCCCCACACCCGCAGCGCTCGGCCTGAGGCGGCCGTGGCTCCGCACACGTGCCTGGCAGCAGGGGACCGGCCCGAGGACCTGCTGCAGCCACTCCAGCCTGGGGCCAGGCCTCTTGTTTCTCCAGTGGGGACCTCCGCCTGCCTCGTCCTTGGGGAGGCCAAGGAACCCGGCCCGAGTTCATGGTCAGCTCCTCGCTCCAGAGCTCAGCACCAACGGCACCATGTGCCTGGGACCAGCTGCACCCTGTCCCTCTGCCCCTCCGGCCTCCTCTGCGCCTGACCCTGATGGCCCTGGGATGGGGAAGACGCTCACAGACCCACCCAAGGGGGAGGTTGGCCGGGACCTCGGGCATCATGTAGTCCAGCCCTTTCTCTTGACGCTGTCCCTTAAGATCCCTCTCAGACTTCTCCCCTTCAGGCTGAACAGGCCCCGCTCCCTCAGCCTCACCTCATTGGAGAGATGCTCCAGCTCCCTCATTATTTTTGTAGCCCTACGCTGGACTCTCTCCAATAGCTCCATTTCCTGAGAAGCCCAGTATTGGACACAGGAGTCCAGACGGGTAGAGAGGGAGATCAGCCTCCCTTGACCTGCTGGCAACACTCTTCCTAATGCCCCCCAGGAGAGCGCTGGCCTTGGCCATGAGGGCACACTGGTGCCTTGTGGCTGACCTCTCTGCAACTCGGCCTCCACCTCTCTGGCTATGAGGGCTCTCGCTTGCAGGAGTTGCTCTTTCTCCTTGCAGAGGCGGGTGCTGTCCCTGTGCAGTGATGGCCGCAGCAGGGTCGGGGGGACGCCTGGCCCCAAGGCCCAGCCCTGTCCCCAGGGGCAGCTCCTGGTAAGGCGACTTGCAGGGAGTGACGCCAAAGCCCCGCGCTTGAGCCTGAACCTTGGCACCGCGCTGCAGCCGGCAGTGCTTATCTGGCTTAAGGGATCAGGTGCCGGGTGTGCAAACACAGCCAGCGGCAGCTTCAGGCAGCCTGGGCCCAGCCCCCCCCGCACCCCAAGCTCCAGCCAAGGCCCTTTTTTTTTCGCCACGCGCCCCATCCCGCCGCATGTGCTGTCGTGTTACACATCTCGTCCGTCCGCGCGCCTCATCCCTCCATGCACCCCATCCTTCTGCATGCCCTCCTGCCGCACGTCCCGTCCTTGTTCACAGCCCAGGGCTCATCTGCAGGCAGCACTTGCCAGGACTGGCTGGGGGCATGCACGCCACCGCAGAAGGAACAGACAAACCAGCACCCGCCACTGCAGCAGCTGGCACAGGGCGCTCAGGGAAGGGCGCCCGCGCACAGGCAGGGCTGGGCCTAGCACTGCTTGGAGGACACACGCGCCCCCCTCGCTGCCTGCTGAGCCACTCTGCACCCCTGAGGCCCAGGGTCCCTCTGACCCCCCTGTTTAGATCTGTGTGTGAGCAGAGCCAGTGTGGAGCTGCCAGGGAGCCTTTTCTTCCAAGCTCATGAGAAATGCCCATGCCCAAGGTGGGGAAGGCTGGCACAGCCAAATGGGATCCGGCCAGGAGCTTTCGCCAGCCCTGAGCCTGCGGGGAGGGTCCTGCTTGGACATGGGCTCTCACAGATGGAGCCCCTGGGGGCTTTGCTAGGAGAGAGGATGGAGCCATTTGCTCTGTCCTGTTCCCATCAGGATGTTGGCAGCTCTCCGGGGCTCCTGCACGGTGGGCTGGGACCGGGCACGGCCTTGCTCGGGCCTGCAGGACCCTTCCCGACCAGAGGAGCGGCCCTCGCGCCCCCTCCGCGAGCAGCGCCCGCCCCGCCTG